TGATACAATCAGCAACACATTAAGATCAAGCACAACTTGGACACTGACCACCTGTGGTAGTCACTAGTCTATCACCCTTAAATCATTTGAATTAAATTGAAATCAAGAAGCAGTCCAGAACATGTCTGCAGTGAACAAACTTTTCAATATAGTATATTAACCATTTAATGGCTCAGACAGAGTGAGGATGGAAGACCCCTGATCTCAGTTAGCTGATTGCTGAACCCCATGATGCTGACTGACCTCGGGCTGCAAGGCCCAGATTGAGTTCCCCATCCTTCTGAATGGTTGAACTCTGCAAAGTTCTATTACAGGTTTCCCCTGCCCTTTCTTTAAAGATGTTCAAAGTTGGGAACTCAGAAAAATACCCTTGATGACCACCTCTGACTTTGCAGAGTGGGTCCAAAGACTTGCACAGTCAGGAGGTCTGAGAGTTTGTGGGGGGGATTATGGGGGTTCAGGGGCGCCCATGAGGCTACCTTCCCGGTGCTTGAGCGATGGCTGCTGGGTCGGGAGCAGGCGTGGTTCTCCTATCTTTTTATCTTGAGGCAGGCTTTCACTAAGTCACTACTTTACCCAGGTTCGGCTTCAACTTTGTTCCTCCTGCCTCAGCCTCCCAGAGTATTGAGATTACAAGCATATGTCACCATGCCTGGCCTATTTATTTTATTTCCTAAGTGCTAAGGATGGAACCTCCGGCCTTGCATGTGCCAAACACACAGTCTCCATAGAGCTCCATCTCCAGCTCCATAGTGGGCAGTTTTAGGTGCGATTTGGGGATCCTGGTCCTCATGGATTATAGTTCACCCTTTTTGATCAATGAGTTGTGCAGAGTCTTGTTCTCCCCCACCAGCTTCTTCCCTGGGGACCAGAGTGGGGTACTCCCTCTCCTCCAGACAGACCCTGGCATAGAGGTGCTGCTATCTGCTGAGGAGGCTGTTTCCTTGTGGAAATTCAACATAGCAGTATGGGGAAAATCACAGCAGCTCTGCCTGTGCCCTGCAATCCAGCAGCCCTGCAACTATTTTATGCCATTAGAAAGTTTTAAAAATTACACACAAAGTCCATCAAACATTGAATTCTTAAGCTTGCTTTTTCTATTTTCTTTAAAATGTAGAAGTTATTTTCCCTATGACCTACTCTACTCTTCTTTTATTTATTTTTTTCTTACTTTTTCCATGCCCCCTCTCAACACATCCTTCCCTCTGAGATGTTCATCTAATAAAAAAGAAAGAGAAGAAGAAATTTAGGGGTGTGTCTACAACAGTGAGGAGAAAATTCTCTGACACCACGTGAATAGAAATTACTGACCTACCCAGTCGATTTCTTCCCTGACTGCTTGAAAGTCACTTTCTCTGTATGCTTATAATATTAAGGCAAAATTAAATGCTGCATATGAACATGGGAATCCAGGAGACTCATTGTTGGCAAATCTTAACATTTTCATTTCACTTCTATATATTGGATTTAATTTGGGGTAGTTTTTCTCCTAAGAACTAACTAATCCTCTTGGTCTTTTTGCCTTGAACAACTGTCCATGCCAGAACACAAAAATGACCCATATGATAAATGTAAGCCCATATAATCTTACCAGAGCTGGATTCTGGGAGGGTGTCTTAATATCTCTGTCCTACCTTCATCTCTCCACTGTACTGTAAATGATACTTTCATTTACATGACATGTAACTAAGGAACAAAATATTTTCACCTGAGTAATACAGGCTAATAATTGTGTATAGTACCATCTTTCATTTTTCATAGACTTGATCTTTCAGTTTCTATTTAGTCTTTGCATTTATAATTAATTTAAGATATTTTCCAGAAAAGCCTATTGACTGCTGTTAGTGACAATGTGGTGCATTGTTTATTATAAGAAAGCAGAGACTATTTCATGAGTCTACTCTGTGCCAAGCACTGTATTAAGCATTGTATATCTGTTTAATCATTTAATGATCATTACAACTTATGAAGCAGGTAATAATATTAAAACAATGTCCAGAGAGGTTAACCTACTTTCCTTAAATAAATAGGTAACAAATGCCAGTGTCAGAATTGGTACATAATCCTATCTCAACAGGAAGTTCTCTCCCATCCCCACCCCATTTCCTCCTAGTATTTTTCTTGTAGTTGGACAATTTGAGGCTCTGTTTAAGGAAAGCATGGCCTGGAGATTCACTGCCATTTAGTGGTGTATTTACAAGGTCCACAGTTACTGCTTAAATAAGTTATTGCTACCTCTCCAGCTGTAAAGGCGGAAATGAGCTTTAGAAATAATTTGTTGTTTACTTTATGAACATGTTTGACATTGTGACACAAAGGTATAAAGGCAAAAGTCAGGGTACAATACCACGTGCACTCCCATTGGCCACTACAGACTCAGATGGTGACATCCCGAGTCTGTCTTATGTAGAAGGAACAGGTTTGAAATGTGTGTTTATCAACAGAAGTTTGTCTTCCAAGCTGAAAGAATATCTAAAAATCGGCAGTGGGTAATGAGAATCAACCAGCAGCTATGGGCAGAACGTGCAGGGTGAATCTGCAGAGGAACAAAACAGGAGAGTGGTGGAAGATGTCTCAGCCTCCTCGGAATTCAGCCACATAGTCACAAGGAGAAAGTCTGCAGAAATGTGGGTGGACAATGCCATTCTGTGGAGGGCTCAGGTAAAAATGCAGAGCCTGTCATGGAAACCAGAGGAAAGCTGATCCTTATCTCGGAATGCCGAAGGCCACGGCTGAATCCTGTTCATGTCCTGGTGCTTCATGGAAGGTAGAGATCATGAGCAATGAAAGTGGATATTTGGTGAGAGTGATAATCAAGGATAGCGTCGAGGGTATGGCTCCTATTGACTGCTTATTATAAAGTTCAAAAGATAGAAATAATTTAAAGGTGTAATTTATGTTTTTAAAAAAGGAGACAGGACTTAAAGATTTGGAAATTTTTCATTTTTGTAAAAAGTGAGAAAGAATGTTCAGGAGAAAACACTAAGGAAGTGTCCAGGTGAATGTTTGATAAGATCAGTATGGCTAGAAAAGAAACAGATGCTAATCTTCAAAACAGTGGAAGGATGACCTCCGAGGCATTTTGAGATCTTTAGGGTTGTGTTCTTCCCTTACTCTTTACAGATTGGGAATATCAGTGCCTTTGAGGAGAAAGCACTTCAAGGACCCAGCCTCTGAAGTCCAATTCGGCGCTCCTTGGTCACCCCAGCTGTGGTGTGTACACAGTCAGAAAAGTGTGACTGCATTCAGTGGGTGCTAACTACGCAGGTGCACAAAATGCAGGAGCTGTGGTGATGTGAGTACATCCACCTAGATACCAAGGATGCCTCAGAGAGCTGCAGAGTTGGGAGTGGAGGGACCACTACGGCCCCCAGGGCAATGCAGAGAACCCATTGTAGAGCATTACCCTATGGGATCAAGGGTACAGGCTCACACCCATCACCACACAGAGGGAGCCTTGCACACTCACACTGAGAAACCATGGGCCTCTCTATAGTCCGAGACAGCTGTAAGCACCAGAAACTTACCCTTGAGAATAGCCACATGGGCCTTGGGTCAAGGCTGCCTGAAGCCTTAGGGACCCATCTTTTATCCCAGTGACTCTGGAAGGTGAGGCATGAAGAAAAAGAAGCTTATTCTTGTACTTTAAGATTTTGTATTTGTCCTGTTAAGTTTGGTACTTACTTGTGACCAATTATTCCTGTATTCTTTCCTGTTTCTGCCTTTCTGAATAAAGATGTCATCATACACTGGACTCACCATTTTGAAAGCACTATAACTTGTTAAATTCCACAAATTCTTATCTTAAGAATAACTTGCCTCAAGATCAGTAATACCTTCAGTCTCAACCAAATCTAATTTAGATGTTTGCTTTATTTGTTTTTTGATACTGGGAAGTGAACCTAGCATCTCATGAACTCTAGAAAAGAGCTCTACCACTAAGCTATACCCCCAGCTCTTTTTATTTTAGTTCAGGATAGGGTTTCACAAAGTCACCCAGGCTGGCCTCAGATTTGCTGTCCTCCTGTCTCACACTCCTGAGTACCTGGCATAACATGTGTGAGTCACTGTTCCCAGCCTGATTTAATGGCATTTAGATGAGACTCTGCACTTTGAGTTTTGAGTTGATGCTAGAATTGATTCAGAACTTTAGTGACTGTGGGGATGAGTTGAATGAATTTTGGGGGCCCAGAGTGGAATGCTATGTTCTGAGTGTTAGTGTACCCCTAAAATTTACAGACAGAAATTCTAACTCCAAACTGATGGTATTTGGAGAAAGGCCCTTGGAAAGTGATTATGTCATAAGGAATCAGTTCTTAGGAACGGGTCTAGTGCACTTGTGAAAGAGCCCCCCTCACGCTTCTGCCTAAATTTTTTTTTTTCCCTCATGAGTTTATTGGTACATGTTAGGTATACAGTACAGTTACATTCATTATTGGGATCTTGTAGCTTTACATGACAGGTCTTGGTTCTCATTTTTTCCCCTTGTCCCTGCCCTCCCTTCACCCTCTCTTCCCCTCCCCCTTTACAAACACTTCATTTCCATTTTTTCATTTTCTCATATCTTTTTCTTTTCCCTTATTACCTTTCCCCTACCCTTCCCACTTTCCCCCACCTTTAGCCCCTTTCTTCCTATTTCACATTGTCAATTATATCATTAGGATCTTGTGTACTATTATAGTTTATTCACACCAGAGAAACTATTCGGTATTTACAATGTGTGACTTATTTATTTCACTTAGGAGTATATCCTCAATATGTATCCATTTTCCTATGAATGAATCTAATTTCTCATTCTTTATGGCTGAGTAATATTCTATTTTATAGAAAAACCACATCTTCTTTATCAATTACCCAATCTCAGGTTTTGTCACAGTACCACAAGTGGACTGAGACGTGCCATGGTGATTTCATCAGATGCCCCTGCACCCACACAGTTCCTTTAGATGGGCCCTGGAGGTGTGTGTTTTCCAGAGGTAACCCCAACCATCTCCACCAGCTCTTTGCTCTGTTCCCCATCTCACGCCCACGTGGCGAGGCTGACTTTTCATACTTCCTCACAATAAAAAGGATGCTATATGGTTTGCCATCCTTTTTACTGTGCTTTCCAGAATGTCCTAGATGTTCTATAATGAATCCATTTATAATCAGAAAAAGGTTATTAAATCAAAATCAAGTTTTTTCAGTGTATTTTATGCTACCTTGTTAAAGCAACAATATTTTTGGCCCTATACATTTTAAAGCTATTGCCAATAGAAGTCAGATATTAAGTAGTTGAACAGATTTATAATCATGGAAATAAATCTATTATTAATAAATAAATGTATTATCTAATCATGTAATAAATGTTATTCATGCTACACATAATATGCATAATACTTAGATACTATAAAAACTTTGTAAACGATCCTCCTGACTGCAGTCTTGCCCACTTCAATCCATGCTTTTGACTAAGTCCAGCCAGAAAGAACTTTGGAAAATGCAAGCTTGAGCACATTTATTTCCCTGCTTGCTGCCCTCCACTGCAGTTAGGGTGCAGAGCGCATTTCCTACCATAGCCTGCCTGCTCCTGAAGACCTGGCTCCTGCTTCCTCCCCCAGCCACGCCACTGCCACACAGAGCCCCAGGCACACAGACCTGCCAGCCTTTGGAAATGAACCACGCCGCACACCATCCCACACTCCTTCCCCTTTAGATGTTGGGACCTGGGTCACGAGTGAGATAACATAGCTAAAACAAGGTCAGCCATGCTTATTCTCCCTCTGACCCTGAGTTTTTTGACATCATTTAGAAAAAACATAACTATAATATTTTCCTTTGGTTAGGAAAAAATTAAAACCAATTCCCCAGATTTAAGCAACTCTGAGGATTATAAATTGAATTTAGCATTTCCTTTAGTCAGTCTTTTCTGTGTTCTCATAATCTTTTAAGTTCTGAATTTCAATTGGTAACTGAATTTTCTCAGTGCTAATTGTTTTCTTCATAGAAATTGCTTAATTGGTAAATTTCTTCCAACATTTTCTTTTTAACAATTTTTATTTGTACATGCTTGCAGTATATAATGTTTACATCCCTTGTGTGGAGTTGGTACATGTACATAACGCTTTTTAATTTTTTATCCCCTTTATTTCCTCTCCTTCCTCCACTTTATCTCTTGATCCCCTCCTCATCTGAGAAAGATAAATCTCCCTACTTCCTAGTACCTATCTATTATGTGGCTCTTGGTGTTACCCTGCACCTTGGATCAAACTCATTGTAAAACTGAATGACAGCAGGAGCTGCTAGGATACTTCCATTTAAGAAAGTTCTCAGTAAGCTCTGGTGGATGATTTAATAGAACAAGCCCTTCTAGAACCCAGGTAGATCTTCTAGGATGAAGGCATCCTGCTCAATGATCAGGTTTACTCAGGACAAGTCGACAAGTCAGCCAGTCCTACAATTCTTAGGAAAGGCCATTTGTCTAATCACATAAAGGAGAGAGTAACATAAATCCAGGTATTTTGTAATCAAAATCTGCCTCTGCCTTCATTTTTCAACCCAGTAGCTTCTCAAGATCAAAATATCACCATAGATTATCTCTTTCTGTGGGGGGGGGACCCAAGTGGTAGGAGCGGCCCTCTGATGCCAGGGTAATTTGCATGCCAAAGGGAAGCCTGCAGGCAGAGGACTCTCTCTTGGGATGGATGCAGCCCAGAACTGGAGACTGACAGGTCCTAAACAGAGCAAAGCTGGCTCTGCAAGGACTGCTGGCACTGTCCTCAGGCTGCTGGGAAGAGGAAGAGGCAGGATCCCCAGGGCCGGCCAGGAACTCCAGGTCAGGGAGGTTGTTGCTGCAAAGTCAATATAAAGGCAATGATAACTTTCTGCTGTAGAAAAATTAATTTGTGGTTGGGACAAGAGTCAGAATAATAAGCTGACTGCTTTGTGCCTTACTTTTCAACTGACACAGGGTATTTTAATTTTGGAATAATTTCCCTTTTTTTGTTATTTTTTTGGTACCGGGGATTAAACTCGGGTCCTTGCGCTTACAAGGCAGGCCACCGAACTGCTGAGCTAAATTCCCGGTCCATGCAATACTTTTCTAATCTCAGATAAAAGGTGTGCTTGAGCTAAGTAGCACTTTTCAAATGGATGCATTGATTTCCATAGACAAAACATGGGTAACTGTCTACAGCCATTAATGCTGAGAGCAATTATACGTAACTAAATCCACACAAAGACATTTGACCTCAGGAGGAGTGCAAATGCATGCATCTGCTTCAGTGGGACATGGACATCTTCCTTTTCATTTTGGCTGTCGTGAACACACTGACGAATAGCAAAATATCACTGGTGATGAGTGAAGCAAAGTCTTGCCAATATTGAAAGAAAACAAATGAAGAAAATGACAAGACCACAGCCAGGTATTTTAGGGACCTTTTGTAATGGCAAATAGGATTCACATGAATTTTGTGAGCAATCCAAAAGTCAAAGAATAAAATAAACTCATTTCATGAGTCATTAAATGAAGTAAATTGGATTTTCATTTCTTCTCCTAGATTAACATGTCCAGACACCTACTGTTCTGATCAGCTTTATGTCACTAAAAAAAGAAAAAAAACAAAACACCTGTCGTGATTGATTTAAAGAGAGAAAATGTTATTTTGACTCATGATTTCAGAGGGTTCAGTCCATGGTTACTTAACTTTTCTCCTTCTAGGCCTGTAATAAGGCAGAAACATCATGGCAGAGCAAAGTAAGCAGAGAGAAGAAAAAACAGCCAGACAGGAAGAAGCCAAAGACATACATAGTCCCCAAAGTCATATCCCCATGACTCACTCCCTCCCGTTAGGTCCTGTCTCTTCTGTTTCTACTGCCTCTCGATAATGCCATCAAAGCATGATCAACTTCCTGAAGTTAGAGTCCTTGTGGTCCAGTAATATCCCAAAAGCCCCAGTTCAGAACACAAGAGACTTCATGGAACATTTTAGATTTAAACCACAATGTAACCCTTCACATATACGTATTTGCACATCCTGTCTTTCCTATGCATGCGCATGTGTGTGTGTGTGTGTGTGTGTGTGTGCGCACGCACACACACACTCACACATCTTTACACCTTGCAGGCTCTTGCAGTGAGAGAAATTGACACATTGCAGGAAAGTGAGAAGGGAAATAGGACCTTTGATTGGAACTCTCACCTTTAGGACTATTGACATTTTAATTTGGTCATTATTTGTTGTGCGATACATACTTGTGCTGGATGTTTATCAGAATTTCTAGTCTCTAACCATTCGATTCTGCTAATACCCTCCC